TAGGGCAAGATCATGAGTTCTGTTTTAGATGAGTCAGGTTTGAGGTGCCTTGAGATAGCCAAGTGGAGACATTTGAAGTAGGCTGCTGAATGTACTGGTAAGAACTGGATTAGAGATAGGAATCTGAGGCATCTGCATTTAGGTATTAATTAAAGCTGTGGGTGTGGATGAGATCACTTAACGGAGGTGTGAAAGAACGAGAAGAAGACCTTATACCCAGCCTTGAGGAATTCCCAGTATTTAAATGATGAGCCGAAAAGGAGACAGAAGGAGAACCAGGGAGACAGGAAAGAGAAATTAGGGTGGTGGTAAGTCACAGAGGGCAAGGGAGGAGCCATTTTAAAAGAAAAGTGTAATGAACAATTTCAAATGCTGCCAAGAACTCATGTGCAGTGAAGATTGAAAATTGTATTTTAAGGCAAGCAGGTCATTGGTGACTGGCTAAAAGCTGTGAAGGACCAGCTGTAAAAAAGCCACATGGAACTGGCTGACAAGTGCTTAAGAAGGAGATGTGGCCTGTAGCAAGCACAAGTCGATGTTCTGAGGTTTAATGAGGAGTGGAAAGTAGATGGGAGGAGCTATGGAGTCAAGGGAGAGCTTACCTGATTTTGATAATGGATGTCCTGATCAGAGGAAAAAATGAGGTGAGAGCAGAGATGACTGTATGAGGAGTAGAAGAGAGAACAGACAGGGTGAGTGTCTGAGAGGGCAGGAGATGAGTGAACTTCAGCAGCAGGGATCGTTAATAAAGGAGATGAGTATAATGGTTAGCAAATGAGAGAATTCCACTGGTGTCTTTTCCCACCTGAAGGTAAAGTGTCATCTTCTGAAAGGGAAGAAGAAAGTGAATTTCTGTTGAATCCATATTGCCTTACATCTTTGAAGTATCATGAGTAGCTTTCCGTTTCTCTGCTTGTCTTCTCCCTGGCTTTTTAAACTGCTTTTTTGAAATATAACTTACATTTCATGTAATTAACTAATTTAAAGTGTACCATACAGTGGTTTTTAAGTTTATTCACAGATAATATACAAAATAACCACAGTCAATTTTAGAACATTACCTCAGAAAGAAACCCCAGAACCTTTAGCAATCTACCCCCACCCCACCTTAATTCATCTTTTGCTGTCAGAAGAGAGCAGAGAGTGTGGTCCAAAATTCAGATTTAAAATCACATGATTTCAAAAAAGAGTATAAACTGAGGCATATGAAGGGTTGCTGAGAGCCTCAAAACTGACCTAGCCAGAGATGCAAAGGGGCTGAGGCCTGCTTATTAGGGTCACTGTTTGAAAATCAACAGATTACACACACAGAAAGCCTGTTAAATGTCAGGTTCTTCCTTGTGAAGGAGAATCATCTTAAAAATAAAGATTAATAAAATGAAATTGAAACAGCAGCACACACAGATTATGAGAACACTTACAGTTGATAAATGATTTTATCTGTTGGCCCAGGAACAGTACATTCTAGGGTACTTAAAATTTGTATATGGAGTGATAAACTCCTGTCAGTAATCAAAGGCATTCACAGAATAGGGCAATAACAGCAGGCTGGAAAAGGTAAAGATTCATTTTAACATTGATACTGAATAAGGTTTTATAATAATGGAATAAATTACTAGGAAGATGATGATAATAGTAGTAAAAAGGTCATACATAGCAAATTAACTTTATTTCATTTTCTTAATATTCAGGAAATACAGAAGAAATGGCATATTCATATTTTATCAAAGTATTTAACAAAAACCTTTTTCAATATGATTGTGAAATATATGTAAGTGGCTGAGCAACCATGCCCAAAGATTATTAGTAGATCATTACTGGAAAGAGCATGATGATGCAAAGGCATGATAGGCTCCACTCGTGGTCATTTCCTTTTCAACATTTTGGTTAATGAGTGAGGCCATTGGAAGTACATCTATCAGATTTTCAGATGATGCCAATATAAGAGTGATAGCTGGTATATTGGATATTCTTAGAATCCAGAAATACCTCCATAGTGTTAACTGATGGGCTGTTGACAAGATTAAATCAGTGAGAAGAGTTAAAACCTTCATTGCAGTGTCATTCAAAGATGTGGTTTTGAATGAATTGTATAATTGCAAAATTTCTTAAAGGAAGCCTTGGGCTACATTAACATGTGTGACATTTGTAGGGAAATGGTGGTCTGGTGTCTTCTGCATTATTCCATTCTGGATAGCATTGGAGTATTAACCCTGCCTTAAGAATATTAGCCAAAAAAAAAAAGGAATATTAGCCTGTTCTTAAGAGGATAAAGAGGCTGAGAGGAGGTTTTCTGGAGAAGACTTTTTAGGGACAACAGGCAAGCTGCTTTCAAAGAGGAGCCTTTGTGTGAAAGAGAAATCAGGATACTGCCTGATCAGCAGTGCAGACCCAGGACCAGCAGGCACTGTAGTGAAGCAAAATTTGTGTCTCGTTATAACATTTTCTAACCACTGTCTGATTGTGAAAACTGCTAATACTGCATTACTAGACACTGAAAGTATTAGAGGTGAAGCAGTGTGATCATTTGGTAAGGTTAGAAGGCTGTAGAAGTGAGTACCATGGAATTAGGTGATTCTTTACATACCGTCAAATGCCCATGTCCTATGAGTCTGTGCTAAGTGATCTTGATCTCCCTGAAGTATATTTCTGGTTCTAAATGCTTCAGCTTACATACCTTTATGTAGTCTTTATGTTTTTTACATATCTTTAATAGTCTACTGGAGTCTCCTTTGTTGGTTTGTTAGGTGTAACATAGCTTTTTTTAGTGGTTCTTTTAGGACTTAACAGAATATTTATTGCAGTCTGTTGTCACTTACATTGCTCCACATATAAGAACCTTAACAGCATTATACTCTATTTACCCCCTTTGAACTATTATTGTTGCCACATATTTTTGTTCTATATATCTCATAACCCCAAAATGCATATTTATGTTTTACGGAGCCAATAATCTTTTAAAGATTTTTTTAATAATAGACGGGAAATATTTTTTCTGTTTACACACATTACTATTTCCAGTGCTCTTCATTCCTTTGTTTAAATACAGATTTTCATCTTGAATCATTTTCCTTCTGCCTTTAGGACTTAAAACATTTCCTATAGCATAGTGAGAAAATCTTCCAGCTTTTCTATGTCTCAGAAGCTCTTTATTTCACCCTCATTTTTGAATGAAGTTTTGCAAGGTATAGAATTCTAAGATGACAGTTCTGTTAATGTTTTTGCCCCAGAACTTTAATAATGTTCTTCCACTATCTTTCAACTTACATCACTTCTGTACAGAAATGTGTTGTCATTCTTTAGTTCTTTGTAATGTTTTTTTCCCCTCTGGTTGCTTTTAAGATTTTTCTCTTCACTGAATATAAACAACTTGATTGAACCATGCCTTGGCCTGGTTTTCTTCTTTTTCTAGTATTTAGGATTTTTTTTTTAACTTGGCTCTGTGTGATTATAGTTCTCATCAAATTTGGAGACTTTTCAGTCCTTATGTCTTCAAATATTTTGTCTGTTCTTCCCCCTCTTTTGGGATTGCATTTATACATATACTGGACCACTTAACAGTCATCCTGTAGCTCACTGATGTGCTGTGTTTTTCTCCCCATCTCTTGTATCACTTGGATGGTTTTTATTGTTTTGTCCCCACTTTACTAACCATTCTTCTGTGGTGTCTAATCTGCTGTTAATCCCTTCCAGTGTAAGTTTTATTTAGGCAGTGTAGTTATTCTAAGTGTTTGAGTTGGGATGTTTTTTTATTGTCTTCTGTATCTTTACTTAACATGCTAATTTTTTTCTTGAACATAATGACCATGGTTACAGTAACTCTTAATGTCCTTGTATTAATTCTCCCATCTGTGTCATCTGCAGGAATGTTTTTGTTGATTGATTTTTCTCCTTGTTGGTTGTGTTTTCCAGTTTTGATCCTTTCCAAGCTTTCATTTAAGCTTTGTTTGGTGGAACCATATAGAATTTAGGGCTAATTTTGTGTAACAAATGAGACAAAACCCTTTCTGTGCTCTGCATGATGCCCTGCTAAGATGAGGTTTTCTATCAGGTTGATGGGAATAAGAAATATTTCAGCCTTGTGTGAGCTTGAGCTCCGTGGTTCTGATCCCTAGCTGTTGGTACTTGCCTCTCATGCATGTGCTAATTAGTACTCTGCCCAGCAAATTCTCATCTCCTTCACCTCTGCAGATTCCCAGCTGTGCCTCCTCAATTCATGGAGACCACCTGTTCTTCGTGATTCCCTTACCCCACCCCTGCCATGGTGTGGCCTCCAGACAGTAAGCCAGGGAATTGTGAGGTTCACTTCATTTGTTTACCCTTCTCTCAGTCCTTTGCTGTCTGAAGGAAATTCAGTATTTAAACTTCATTGTTTCAAATATTTTCTCCTATCTTTTTAGTCTTTTTCATAATGGAAGATAAATATGGCTCCTGCTCCTTCATCTTGGTCAGAAGTGGAAGCTTTTTAGTGACTTTTTATTTGTTGTTAGTATTTTAACTTTGCATTCAAAGCCTCCTGCAGTGACATTTTCTGCTGTTCCCTTGCTCCCTCCACACTGTTCTCTGACAGACCCTGTGCTTCTCCCTCCCTCTTTAGCACATGCCACTCCTTTCCCCTCAGTCTCCTTTTCCTTAGTTTCTGCATTGTTTCTAGTCTCAGGAGCAGCTCAGGTGCCTCTTCCATGTTGTTTCCCTCTCATTTGAGGCAGAATTGAGCAGTTTCTCCTTGTTGTATTCCTACCATAATAACATTGTTTTCAGCTTTGGAGTGTACATGTTGCGAGTCTGCCAACCTTGCCTGTTCAGCACGTATGTCAGTCTCCACATGTGCACACACATGCACAGTTTTCGGCTCCTGAGGGCAGGGGTGGGGATTACCTACTGTTGCAGTCTGCACATAGGTATGTGGTATACAAATAGAGAGAAGGTATTTAACAACTGTAGGTGTGTTATATATGTTGTTGAAATGAATTTGCCTTTCTCCTGTCCCCTAAAATCAGGCTACAGAAGAAGTTTCCAAAAATCTGGTTGCCATGAAAGAAATTCTGTATGGCACAAATGAAAAAGAGCCACAGACAGAAGCAGTGGCACAACTTGCTCAAGAACTGTATAATAGTGGGCTCCTTAGCACCCTGGTAGCTGATTTACAGCTCATTGACTTTGAGGTAAGAAATCAGTTTCTCATTTTTTAAAAACAGTACCCTATTCATGGTTGTTTTCCATGTGATCTCTCCTTTTGAAATATCTTAAGATTCCTGTTGGATTCTTGGCTCAGCTGTGACCTGCCTAGGTGGCCTGTCTAATTAGAGCCAGGGCAGGAAGTCAAGGGCATCTCAGCTAAGGCCAGCTTTTCCCCACTCTGTTTTGCCATATTGTATATGAAGTTTCTTATGTATTTGTTGTGCCCTTTCATTTAGGTTGTATTTAATAAGCATCTGCTGTTTTACATAATTCAGTGGTCCTTGGAGCTCAAGGAATAAACAATCTAAAGAAAACAGAATGCTAGAATTTTAGAGGTAGATGTAATCTTAGAGTACATTTAGTTAGTTATGAGTTTTGTTTTTTAATCTGTTGAGAACTCATTGCACCAGGGATCATACATGTTTAAATTAGGGTAACATTTCAATAACAGGAAACTTTTATCCACAGGTCTTTAAATTTAGGAATTTTCTTGAAAAATTTGGCGACATTGGGCCTATAAGTCCTACATAGGACTCGTTTAGAGCAGAGTAGCTACTGTCCCATGACCCCGGGCATCCATGCATGGGTGTTCTGTGCACAGTACAGCTTGCTCTTCTCAGGGCCTGCTTTACCTATTTGCATCTCCTGTCTGGCCCTGGTAGACAGTTGAGATAGTTGCCCAAACTTAAGACAGCCAGATTGTGCCATGTTAGATATTTAGTGAATCTAACAGTCCAGAATAATGGTCCTTGACCCTAGTCTTACTAGTCTGAAAGTATATATGGTAATAAAGGGCTCTGGCACAGTCATGAGCAGTCTTCTCTGTGACTCTATTGTGGGTATGCTTTGTTTTAAAGTCCTGCTGTGTCTCATCCTGAGTGATTGGATATCTGTCCAGGTGCTTGAAAAACCAGGGGTGAAAATGGCAGATATACAGCCAGATGCAGTTTTGGAGAGGGATGAGGTGGTTGAAGTCATAGGTTACTTGCATATAATATTGATAATAAAAGACAGTAAAAATTTACTTACATAGAACAGATAGAACTGTGATATTTCCATTCAGATAGCTGATGTCATATTTTTTAATAGTGTATCAAATTCCAACATCAACAATTTTTTTTCTGCAAAGGTGAGAATGTATTGGAATATCCAGTTCCTTCCCCTTTGCCCACCCATCCCATTCCTCAACCTGGACACTGAATTTAATGTTTAGAAATATAAAAGAAATGTGTGCCCTAAGAGATTAGTTTTGATGCATTGCCATTACTACTCCTGACGTAGTGCTGGCACCAGGGTGACCTCAGGTGCCTAAGCCAGGGTTTCACTCACTCACCTGCAGACTTGTCAGCCTTGTAACAAGTGGCCATTCTGGAGCATCTCTTGGGATCCAGTCTCCAGTTGTTAATTTCTTGTGCAGCTTTCTAAGTACAAGGCTTACTGCATAATGGCACTGTTCATCTCTTTGGCTTAATACAGTGGTGTAATTCTCATCTCTGAACTATTGCAAAGGTATACTTAATACCTTTGTTATTAATCTGTATAAAGTCTTTTCTAACTGGACCTAGTTTAATAGGGGTGTATGTCTGCTTGCAATTAAAGCTCAGCTTCCTAGAACTCTTTCATTTTTATTACACTAGCAGACTACAGTTTCTCTTCTTCCATCACTGTAAAAGGAAAGTATATGTATTGTTTACAACACAAGCATCTTTTTGAGGGTGCTGCTTGTTCCATCTGGGTGGGAATCAGATCCCTGAACATTGTAAGCATACAGTAAGGTTTCATTTTTCATAACCGAGGCAGCATGATTCTGAGAGTTAGAAATGGTTGAAATTATATGTAATGTGATTTCACTTTGTCGACATATTCCTCATGTTAAAAACAGTATAATATTGAAACTTAGAATTTGGAGTTATAAATAGAAAATCTAATGTCTGTGTTTTAAAGTCAGATATTCAGTCAAAATTATAAATATGCAATGCCTTGATTTGTTTACTTGTAAGAGTGGATGGGTTTTTTGATGTTTTATCAGGTAAACATTTTAATGATTGTATTCCTAATAGGGCAAAAAAGATGTGGCTCAAATTTTCAACAATATTCTCAGAAGACAGATTGGTACAAGAACTCCTACTGTTGAATACATCTGCACCCAACAGAATATTTTATTCATGTTATTGAAAGGGTATGTACGTTGTAATACGATTTATATTCTCAGTTGAAAAATAAAAAGGAAAGATGGTGTTGGGCAAAAACAGGATGGTAAATGTGGGAAAGCATCTCCTGTTAGTTCAATCAGCTCATTTTTCTGTAGATCTTAAACACATTACTCTCCTTAAAATTCAACTTGTGTAATATTATTCAGCCATAGAAAGAAAAGAAATCCTGCCATTTACAACAACATGGATGGATCTAGAGGCTATTATTCTCCGTGAAATAAGCCAGGTAGAGAAAGATGAATACCATATTATTTCACTTATTTGTAGAATATAAAAACAAAGCAAAATAGAAGGAACAAAACAGCAGTAGATTCTCATAGACACTGAGAAGTGACTGGTGGTTACCAAGTGGGAAGGGTTGGGGTGGTGGTGTGGGATTGGGTGGGAGAAAAAGGGACAATAATTTGCAGTCACAATAGAGTTGATCAGGGACAGTAGTATGGCAGAGAATATAGTCAGTGATACTGTAACATCTTTCTATGTTGACAGTAACCATACTAGAGGGGGTGAGGATTTAATAATGTGGGTAACTGTTGAATCACTATGTTGTGCATTTAAAACCAATGTAAGATTGTATATCAAAGATATTTCAAGGAAAAAAAAAGGTCTGGAAGGATATATATATACTAACTATTAAAAAATTTTCAACATATGAGTTAACTTGAATTTGAAAATGCCCATGGCAGTTTAAATGTCAGTGAATTGTGGACTCTTAAGTTCTCAAATCATGCAGGACCAAAGAAAAAAGGTCCACTGTGGTCTCATTTCTGTTCCCTAAGACTTAAAAAGCATAATTGTATGAAGTTATATCATGTATTAAAAAGCATCTTTGGACATACATGCACTCTCTTAAGGCAGTAAAAGCTGCCTAGTAATGAAGCTTGGATGCTACATAGCTTAACTTTGTTCAGTCAACAAAGAACATGTTTATAGTGCCCTCTCCTTTTTACCCCTGTGTGTCCACTCATTCACCCACTTAATTTGATAATGTAGTGCGTCTTCCTGAAATCATCTTTGGACCAAGCAGGCCATGTATGTTTGTGTAGTCTGTCAGTTTCAAAATATAAACAAAAGCCTAAAAACTAAATGTCAAAAACAAATCCTCTTCTCCTTCATCACTGAGCCTCCCTGATTGGCAAGGTAACCTCCTGTTGTTTCACACTAGAGTCATTTGCCAGCTCTTGGTATGGTGTGCATTTGTCTGTCCCAGCATTGGTGGTATTCTGTTAACTTGGTGGACAGGCATTTTACTGGCATGCCTGTTGGCACAAATCAGCTTGCTCTGCTACCCCTCGCTTTATAGCTTGCCTTACTCTGATTCATATCTCTGTGGTTTAACACTTCCCCCAAGTTCAAACTTGTTGAGACAAAGCATGATTCAGTGTGTATGTTAGTTGCCAACATTCTATTTCCTTCTTTCTATTGCTAACTATGTTTCTTCTTCAGATGTTGCCATACAGAACTTCTGGCATTTATTTTTTGTTACATCAAAATGCACAGGTGCATGTGTAAACATCTAGAAGTAGTCGGAAATTTTGGCTTAGAGCAGCTTCCAGATGCCTTTGTATGTTTTCAAAGCCAATATTTCCTTTTCCATAGAAGGCAGTATTTGTTAAAATCTACAAATTAGTTGCCTATGTTTTCACTTTAGGTAACCAGGGGTGTGATAAGAACATCAAGAATTTTAAGATACAGTTTAAAGCCCTCAGCAGAGCTGGCCAGAGCAGAATCCTCAGCTAGGGCTGAGAGGAGGAGGAGCATGGAGAACGCAGCTGCTGTTGGTATCCCACAGATCCTGTCTCCCTCATCCTCTTTAGCCTTTACTGTGGAAAATATATGGAAAACTGGAGGGAATAGTAAACCGCTTCTTATCCGTCACCAGCTCCAACAGTTATTAACCTCCAGCCACTCTTGTGCCCCCTTTTTTCCTCTTCTCATACCATCATTTCAGTGTGCATACCTAGGATGTAAAATACATGAGGACTTTCCCTTGAATTTTCACCAAAAAGAAGTCAGTTTTCAGGTAGTTTTGAGTAGGTTCCAAGCAAGGTCCACAAACTGAATTTGGTTGATATGACTTAATTCTCTTTTAGTCTATAATAATTCTTGCCTCCTTTTTTTAAATACCATTTATTTGTTGAAGCAATTGGGTCATTTGTAGAAAAATTCTGTTTTAGATTTGCATCCCTGTGGTTTCATTTAACATGTTCCTTTACCCTCTGTGGTTTTAAATTGGTGATAAGGTCATTATGAACTCAAGTTTTGGTTTGTTTGTTTGTTTTTTAAGTATATCTGATGTTTCAACTGTTATAGTCATTATGTCCAAGTTGCCCCATCTTAGGCTGTTTGGGAGCTTCTTCAGGTTGCTCCCATGTCCTTTTGGCAAGACCCTGTTTGTGTCTGACAGATCCTTGCTTCCTGGCACTAGATGCGCTTTGTTCATTTTGTACAGATTCCTGCCTCAGACCAGGAAACAGCCATTTCAGGGAGCCCTGTGAGCTACCTTTCAAGATTTTTTGTACTTTCAGTCAGTTTAATTAATTACTTTAGGCTACTAGTAGTTGGTAAGTTCGTTCAGACTACTTTCATACAATGTGGTTATGTACTTAGGCTGTAAGTAACAGTGAAGTTGGACATTGGGGGAGTAGCACCACCAGTGTTAGGGGGCATTTGAAAGTAAGGTTGTTACTAGTGTCAGACTGCATCTGGAGGCAGTAGTTCTCTGGTGATTTAAATGTTAATGTGCTCTCTACTCTAGTGCTCACAGGTTGTACAGCCTAACTGTTTGCCTTGCACTTACTGGTTTGTGGTTAAATCATTTAAGACAAGCTCGACAGACTGCCATCAAAACCTGCTCAACTTGTTCCAAACTGTCTTACCCTCTTCTTTCTAGTCTCCTGCTTATTAAAGATTGGTGAAGATGAACTGTGATTGGCCATTTTGTGAGCAGACATTTCAGTTGCCTAAGAGCTGTCAACATTCTAGCTGCCATGCCACTAGTGATACAAAGGAATGTTTTGATGTTGTTGAGAATCTGTAATGAACCTGTGTACAACAAAAGGATACTACTACTAGATAACATTGAGTGCCGTGGGATTTCAGGGGATCGAATGTAGGTTTAGTCAATAAGACAAGGGTTGATAAAAGAGATGGTATTTAAGATGGAAGTTCCAGATGGTTTAGAATATACATAGGCACAAGGGCAGGAATGAACTTAGTGATTGGCAACTTGAGGAGATCATCAGAATGCTGAATGGGAGATGATGATGGGAGCTGAGGATGTACCAGGGCATAAAGCTGATGAGGGGAAGCCTGAACAGTAAGCCCAGAAGTTCATCTTTGATTTTAAGAAGCCATTTTAAACTCCTAAGCTAGAAATGCTGTTGGTAAATTTGTTAAGAGAGGGCTAAACAAAGATGCTAGTTAGGGGGCACTGGTATTTCTCTAGGCATGAGTTAATGCAGCTGTGGGATGGGTAAAAGGAAATGAAACTAAGATAATTCAAAGAAACATTACAAGGGACTGATGGTGCTGCAGATGAGAAGATGGGAACAGGCAGAGGGGCAGGGTTAGGACTGTGCTAATATAATACCTACAAACAACATATAATTACTTTATGTTAAAAACATTTAAGATTCAATCCTTCAGTCATACAGAGTAGCCAAATTTTAAGTACTCACTAGCCACATGTGGCTGGCTAGTAGCTACTCCAATGGACAGAACAGATAAAAAAGAGCCTTTCTGTTTCTAAAGAAAGTTCTGTTAGACCTCTTTGAGACCTGGGTATCTGAAACCCAGTAGTCATATCATATTACAGAATTGAAGGCACAGGGGTGGAGGGCTATTTCATGGAAGGAGATGAGATTTGATTTTAGACCTGTACAGCTTCTGGTAGACATTTAACCAAAGTTGTCCAGAGGCAACAGAAAATGCCTAATCATAGTTCCAGAGTAGACCTGGACGGGGGAGATTCAGGAGCCATGAGGTCGTACAGGGGTGCACCAGCAGCCTGGAGACAACACAAGACAGGCCTCAGCAGGGCAAGAAATAGGAACAGATGGGGAGAACGGGGAACTGGGAGATTTTTTTTTCCTAAAATTTTTTAAAAAGAGATGCAGAGCTCGGCACTGAGAGGACACAAAAGAGTAGAATTTATGTTAATAAGGAAAGACCATTTGTTTTAGCCAAGAAGAGATCTTTGCTTGGGGTGCGTTGGGAATTGGCATTTGATTGCAGGAACCTAGAGGGAGACTGAGTGTTGGGAAAGACCTAACACCAGTGCATGCAGCATAAGAGGAAGTGGAGAGGAGTGCAGTGCTTCTGAGTAAAACGGCAGAGTGCAGTCCTAGAGGCTTGGTGCACATCGCAAGGATAGAGGCTGCTGGGCTGACAGGGAAACAGGCTTTCATTTGATCACAGGGAAGGAAGAGTCAGATTACGCCGAGATGGGGGCGGAGGAAAGCTGTGTGCCCAGAACTGAGGGTGCAGTCCATCTCCTGTGCTCGCCGCAGGGGTCCCTCCTGGAGCGCTCCGTGACAAGGCACTTGTACTGTCCTTGGAACCAGGCTTTCAACTTCATAGGAGTCGTGTGTTGCCGAGAATCCTGAAAGTACTGTTTTGAGTGTAGAATTGAAGCAACAAAGTATAAATGCTGTATACTTAGTAGACCTATTTAGATACTATAAATTTGGAAAACTTTCATACTACTCAGTTTTGGTTTTTCTGAAGTGTTGAGAATGCCACATGTAAAAGTAACCCCTCTTTAGAGGTGTGACCTATTCTCTTTAAAATTTTTTAGCATAAATAATGACTTTTATTCATAAGATCACTGTTGTGGCTGTAATTTTTCTTTGCATTCAAGCAGTCATCACCAATTAATGTATATATGTGCCCTGTAGAGTAAATTCACCTGGGTATACGTTCTACTCTGGTCACTTAGGAAACACCTGAAACTTCCTGTTCTAAAATTGAACTCTTCAGTGTTGGAGCTGTTGCAATCATGTTTGGTTTTTGTTTTTTCTTTTTGCAGATATGAATCTCCAGAAATAGCTCTAAATTGTGGAATAATGTTAAGAGAATGCATCAGACATGAACCACTTGCAAAAATCATTTTGTGGTCAGAACAGTTTTATGATTTCTTCAGATATGTCGAAATGTCAACATTTGACATAGCTTCAGATGCATTTGCCACATTCAAGGTAACATAAAAACTGTAGATTTCTGAATATACTTGCAAGTCAGATTAAACAGTTGTACTGTTTTTCCTTAACTCTGTCTACCCTCTAAAACTATACATGGCTGCCCTCTAGTGGGAATAAGGAAGATATATTTTATATGTGTGTGTGCAATTTAGCAGTATAGTCACCGTTTAAAAAGGGTGGAAGAGTTAGATTGTAAAATCTGCCTAGGTTCTGTATGGTCAAAGTAGACTTTTCTGTTAGATTACCTATTAAGTGTGGTATATATATACAAAGTACATCTAACAGCCAGGTTTTCCACCTGTGTTGGGCTGCACTATAGCAGCTTCTTTGCTTAAGCACCAGATGCAGTAGTTGACTTCTATTCAGGACCACGTTCATTTGGAATATTCACATCTTTAAATACTAGAACCACATCCAGGACAGAGATTTCCCCATTGTGGGCAGGCCCAAGGGAGCAGTATCCTTAGACTCCCAACTGATGCTCATGCCAGCACATGTTTATTAAATGCCAGGAGGCTGGGGTGTGCTGGCAGAATCACCTGCACTATTCAAATTACTGCCTATCCTCCCAGTCTACTTTATCTCCCTATTGTATATATTTGCATAGATCAGATACATACATGATATGCTATCACTGTACAACATACACATTTTTGTTTTGAATTGCAAAGTTCTCTGATGTTTAGGGTGTATCAGTAAAGCAGTCATCGTTACTGGTGTTTTTCACAATGAGAGCAAGCCTCTATGTTATATTCCTGTGCGTAAAATGTCTGGCCTCGTAAGTGAATATTTACAACTATGATTTTAATATCTGAATTTACAGTGTACTAACCTGCAGACTATTGTGCTCAGACACTTACAGTGAGAAGTAGCCCCTTTTCTTGTGAGGGTTCAGTTTTATGATTGTAAAGAGCCCCCGAGATAATGAACACACACCTTGGTCTCTGGGTAATACATGTCCCTCAGAATGAATGAACACCTTTCACATGGGATGAAAGCCTGGGGACCTGGCCATTAAGGTTTCACACTGAGTGAGAATAAGGTAATAGTGTGAGAGGTGCCTAGGATTGATTTTCCTGAAACCATAAAGAGGATGTTAGAAGCCTTAGGTAAGACCTCAGAAGGTTAGTATACAAAGCAAAATGAGATAAATTTGAGATGATACTGTAGATGGTAAATATAATGTCTCGGGTAGCACCACACTATGGGTTAGAACCATGATTGGGGTCTGTTGATGGAAGGAAATGCTCCATTCAAAAGCAGCAGACCTCTTATGAAGGGAGGTGTGATAGTGCCATGTGTCAAGAAGAGATACTCCTATGTGGAAAGAAGTCTATGAGCTGGGGAGCAGGGCAGTACGGGCACAGGAGAGGGCCAGCAGCAGTAGGGCAGAGTGCACGGGAGCTAGGATTCTAAGGATGAGCTGTAGAAGAGAGAGCATGGATAAGCTGGCTTAGATACGGTATCTCAGCTGGTCCTGACTACACAGAAAGGGGAGAGCTAATTACAGAGGCCTGTAAACAGAGAACTGCGGCAGAAATGAAATGAAGTAGAGCTCAAACCAGCACGGTGTATGGGAGAGAGGCCCAGACCTGTCAGACGGAAGCTACCACAGCTCTCCCTAGAAGCCTCTGGCCATGGCAAGAAGAAAGGCGGGCAGAGAGAATCTCCTAGCTTCATGCCAAGGTGCTGGTGAGGGCAGAAGGCGGACGACTGCTCTCCTGGTTTGCTGGTGTCCTCTTTGGAGGGAATATATTTATAATAGAAAAGGAGAAGAGGCCCAAGGGTCATGCTCTCCTTTGAGAATGTGACCACAGCTACTGCCCCAGAAGAGCACTCTGCACACGAAAACTTGCCAACAAGTACTGCTCATCCATAAGCCAGATTTAAAGACGCTGAACAGGGACTGTCTCAAAGGAAATTAACATTGCCTGATTGACAGCTGGAATGAATGGGCGCTTGGAGAGAAAGTCAGGGGCCAGAAACTTCTTTATGACTTTTTTGGCAGGGCAGGGCAGGAATTCAGGAGATGGAGAGGGGGATCAGAAGGCCAAAAATTTATTTCCAATTTTCCAGAGTTAAAGAAAGTAGATTCCCCAGAGAAGCTGGTGGAACTTGGAGCTTGATGTTATACCTGTGTGAGGTTCTAGAAAGTATTTCATAAGAGATGATTTCTGAGCATTTGGAAAGGAAACCATGTACCCAGAGCCAGCATGGATTCACTAAGAGTAAGTTCGGTCATACTAATCTCATAGATGCTAGTAGATCAGGGGCTAAGGGCATGGCTGCCTGGGTTCAGTTCCCAGCTCTGCTGCTGATTTAACCTCAGTCTCTTCATCTGTTAAAATGGAGGTAATACCTACATGTCAGAGTTATTGTGCTGTACGCAATATGTGTGCAGTAAACAGTAGCTGTAAAAAAAGCCATATTCCTTTACAACAATGAGGATTTATACTAGATGTTGAATAATTGGACAGATCTATTTTCATGGAAACAATGGAAAGATAGGAACTAGATGGAGTTTCACTGTACTGATTCACAACTAATTGAATGCTGTGTCCAAAAGGTGCTAGAAAATGGATTTCCATCACCCTGGCAAGAAATTGCTAGTGGATTTCCACTGGGCCTTGTCTCCACTCAGCCCAGTTGAACGTTTTTATTAATGACATAGATAATGGCTGACAGGGCATACTTACCAAATGTGTAGATGACAGCTGCGAAGGGAGAGAACAGACGACAGCGATCCTAAAACAAGGCTTCCCAGAGATCTGGAGAAGCCAGAGCACAACAGGCTGAAATTTGATTACAGGCAATGGAGGCCTTCCACTTGAGGACCCAACTCCCTTGAATATGGGACGTTGAAATAAGGCATCATGATAAGAAATCCTAAATGTAATAATTACTGAGTATAATAATTACTGAAGTGTAGGTAACTTGATGTCATCCTCAACCCTGTGAAGGAAGTACTGTTGCCTCCTTTATGGAAAAGGAAAGAGAAGCCTAGAAAGTTGGGTAAAGTCAGACAAATGGGGGAAGTCCAAGTTTGAACCCAGGCAGTCTGACTACAGAGCCCATTCTGAGCAAACAAAATCCCGAGTGTGTCCAGTAAAATAACAGTATGATGGTGCTGCCCCAAAGCCACACGTGCCCACGTGGTGTGTGACCTAAGGAGCTGCTGGTGGTCTCACCCCACTGTAAGCTTGTGAGGTAACCACACATAAATGTGTTCCATTCCAGGCGCTACACTAAGAGGCACATAGACACGTAGATGACTTTCAGAAGACAGTAGATGGTGAGGGGGACTCAGAACCTGTCATTCGAGGAGTGGTTAAAGGAACTGGACGTATTTAGCCTGCAGAAGAGAAGACTCGGTAGGGACTTGCCGTGAGAGTACTACTTGTGTTGGAAGCGGGGTCTATGGATTAAACCTGTTTCTGTCGGCTCTGACAGTTTCTGGAAAGAACCTGGGGATAGGTTTTGACTCTAGCACAGGAAGAACTTCTAACTCTAAGAGCTCCAAAGGTGAACCACACAGTAGGAAGAATTGAGTCTCTTGTCCTTGGACATGATCAAGCAGGAAGTTGGGCCAGTGACTTGCCAAGGCCCTGTGAAAAGAAACCCTTGGTCAGCAGCGTTCCTTCAGAGAGTCCAGGGCTGTCTTGTCACATGATGTTTGGAGCCCCCAACTCATGTACTTTTCAGAATCTTTTTTTAATACATCCCACCCTAAAAGTTGGCTGCTCAATCTGCTGGACTTGGGAGATGATACCTGACCTTTCTCCAAGTCAACAGCACGGCCTTGGAAATACTGGAATCTAGACAGGTGGGAAATCAAAAGTCCCGTTCTTCCTCCCTGCTGCTGGCTGACCCAGCTATTCTCTGGCGTGGGACCACATGTGTCCCGCACACGTCACAGGTCACTGACCAGGTGTGACCAGATCCTGACGGGGTGACCTCTTTTCATCCTCTGTCCTGTTGGTTTCGTCCCTCACCCCAGTTTGAGCTCTCTAAAGCTCCTAGCTCTAGTCCCTTAGGTAAGGTTTCTTTTCATCTGGTAGATAGAGGCTCTGCCCAAGTCCCACCTCCTCTCTTCCCAGCCTTTTCCCCCGAGCTGGCTCTCAGTAATTGCTCCTTTCCAACTCATCGACTGATGGTTGACTGTTCCTCCAGGCCCTGGCATGGCCCTTCTTAATGAAGGCCTTTCCTCCTGTCGTGCAGTGGGGACATGCAAAGGCCCACTCTGCCTTTAGCTGTCTCAAGACGTTCCTCTTAATTTCTCTTCCCCCAAGGCCATTGAGACTTGACTCCTAGATTGGCAGTGGTTTCCCAGGTTCCTTGGTCTCTTCAACAAGATAACAAATATAATCTCCCCTAGATGGGGAGAGGTTGGAGGCTTCCCCTTTTACTATGAGCCTCCTGCTTCTAATTCAGATCTATTCGTCAGTCACCTTACTGAAATTTTAAGTAGAAATCTGTTTAGCACCTTTGCTTTTAAAAGCACTACTTTCTACCTGACTGCTTCTGAGACTTCAGCCCCAGTTGAGAGCCCCTCCCTTGGTGTTCTCTTCCGTCAGATTGTTACAGAGCAGTGAGCACTGGGTCCTTGAGCTGTACTTGCTCACAGCAGCCACCAGAATGATTTAGCCACAAAAAAGTGGAAGTGACACTCAATCTCACATGGATCCTGACACAAAAACACCTAATTTGCTGACTCATTTGTCCATTCTGCAAGTCTCTGGGTACTCTTCCTGTGTCAGGCACTGTTCTTCAGATTCTGGGGTTCAGGAGTGAACTGTGTGGACAAACCCCTGCTTTGAGGCACCTACACAGGGAGCCCACTGTAAACAGACCACAGCAGCCGTTAAAAGGCAGGCAGGAACTTTAAGAAACATGCTTAATAGAATCCCTTGAGGTTCCCATGTCCCCTCTCCCTGACATGTGGCCCCATGGGTCAGTACAGCTCACTCAGGGCCTGTGGACTCTCCTACCTCTGCCCTCTTCTCTTTCCCCATATGGGGAAGGCCAACCACATTTCCTTCCAGATTCTTGAAGGTACTCACAATAAACCTCCAAATTTTCTAATTCTGCTTGTTTAATCCCCAAGGGGGATTTGGAAAAAAATGGATAGGTCTTTCCTGGGTATACCATACATACCCTATCCAGCAGTTTGAACACCTGTAAATCTTTGGGGTGGAGTTGGAAGCCTTCTTGAAAGCATACTTTGAAGGTTGCTTAATGTGGTGTTTTCCCCACACATGTTTGTTGATACAGTTGGTTCATTCATTTATTTGTTAAATATTAAGCTCTTACTATGTGCTAGGCACTGCATGGGTGCTGGGGATTCAAAGATTAGTAAAAACAGACATGACCCTTACATTTATAGAATTCATATAGGACTCATGAGAGACCTTAGTCAGATGATCTCACAGATGAAAAGTCATAGCTGTGACCATGCTTTGGTGCTGGTGACCAGTTGGGGAGGGTTCCCTGGGGCAGGGATGTTTGAGTCAAGGCCCACAGGTAGCAGCGGGTGGCTGGGCTGAGGGCAAAGCCTGTATGCAGAAGGCCTTTGGGGCAGAACGTTCATGAACTAGGCAACAAAACCTCCCTTTTGCCAACAAAAGCAGGATCTCTTGAGACCTGGTGGATCCCGTGAATGACTCAGAGCTGTAGCACTTCCCACATTTGTTCAACTTGGGAACATTTTGTAGAGCTTTTCACAGGACCAGTATTACACTTGGACATACTTCAGAAAGCACTAGTTAATTGTGACCTGAGTTAACTCAAATACGTACAGCAAAGAAAACAAGTTAAGGAAAGTTGGTTCAAAGGAAGGGGACTATTGGCACTAACCTCTCCAGTAGGCTTCTCTGAAGGAATTTTACCATTAATTCACCAAATACTGACTGGCCGTGTCTGCTCACATGTTCCCATTCTCATTCCTCCCTGGTGAGGCCAAGGCTGGTTCATTGCTAAGCTCTTGGTCCTTAAAGGCAAGCGCCCCATCTGTTTGTCTTTGCAGCTCCAGCACCTGCAACTTTACCTGGCACATAGTAGTTATTTTCTGAATGAATGATCCTTGAGGTATTTCTAGGGAAAGCCATGGGATGAGGCATAAGCTCTATTTCATAGTAATGCAGAATTGGACTCTAGGTTATGCTAATTCTGGATTCTGCATTTTTGCAGCATTAGTCTGCTTACTTAGGAGTTAATGTAAACATTATGTTGGGGTTTTAAACAACATTTTACCTCTGCACTGTATATGAACTGGATGGATGTAACTGAATTTAGGAGGAAGAAAATAGAGGCTTCAGTACTTTTCTACTAAAAGAAATTCCTCTTTTTCCACCAGGAACAGTATTCTATTTGATGTTTTACCACAGTCACTTCCTTTTTTTTCACTTCATTTCTTCATTATTTTCTTTGAATTTGTATTTCCATTGCCTTATATGTTTGTTTTTTAATTTTTCCTTCTAAGAGCTATAGACCTGTTACTAATGGTAATCATAACAATTACAGTTTCGAATTACTGTTATTTGCTCTTACATAGAATCAACATGTTCAGTGCAATTCATGCTGAAATATTTTTAAGTATAGTAATTTTTAACAGTTTTTATCAGGTATAATGGCGTGGAATGTTATAGGATTCTCCTAAAAGAACTTGAATGCCTAACAACTGTAAAAAATTATATTTTCTTTTTCTAGGATTTACTTACAAGACATAAACTGCTCAGTGCAGAATTTTTGGAGCAGCATTATGATAAAGTAAGTATATGAAATACTCTTTTCAAATAACAAATGACAAATTTTATTACTGGAAATGAAAGATTTAAGTAAATTTTGTGCCAGAAAGTTATTTTGCAGATACAGTGTTTTTAAATGGTGCTATGATCATGTCTACTGAAACGAGGTACAGAGTATATTCCTTGGTCAGAAGCAGAATTTTTTTTTTGATGACACACTGCCCTTTGCATCGTTCTTGCTTTAGATGAGGAAAGTAAAGCACTCTGCTGCTGAAATAAACTAGTTAAGATAAAAGAGAAATTATTATCTGACTTCCTCATTTTTTCTTCCTGTCCATCAGCTGCTCACATTCCCTACGTACAAATGAGGGAAAGGCGGGCAGCAGTTGGCTGGCAGGCTGAGGAGAGTGCTAGCCGGGAGGAGTCAGGACCCGGTTCTGCCCCTGCCCTGCCGCTGACCTTGTGGCCGTGACCCTCAGGCGCTCTGAAGCTAGTCCTTACTTGTGAAATGAGGACCTTGGGCTAGCCCAGGGTGGGCCCTTGCAGCTTGAGTCAGTGCCAGACTGCCTGGTCCTAGAACCCCTCACAGAGGTCTGTAAACAATTCCGAGTCCTCCCAGGACCTAACTGCCCTTGATCCTCACAGCAGCCCACAGGCCCGAGTATCGGATGTGCTCTTCCAGCGCGTGCCAGCTCTGCTGTCCACGGCACCCATAAGCACATCCTCGTGCCTTGGCTTTAATTTTCATGGTGTCCGAAATCCAGTGGCTGGGTGCCCTTAGGGAGGTGATGGAGACAGTGATCCATGTAAATTCACCCTCCGCCCCCGAGACTTGGCTCAGGCTGTCACTCTTGCACTAGTCATTTGAGGTTTTGAAATCCTGGGTGTTACTAATTCTCCATTGTTCACTTTGCTGTTCAACTAAATTATAAGATTCTTGGAGGAAGAATATATGTTTCCTAATTCTTTTTGTGTTCCTTTTTCCCAGTCTTCCTCTGCCACTCCCGGTAACATCATAACACATGCTGAATACAAAGTCCCTCATAAATAGCCTCTTAAGTGGCTTGAACATTGCAGGTCACTTAACTTTGGATTTGGATGTGGGTGTGTTTTCTTTTTGTGTGTTTGTTGTTTTAAAGTGGCAGCACAGCCATTTCATCAGTGCCTTTTTAGAGTAAGAAGTCTGGGCTTTGGCGCCAGGCCACCTGGAGTGTGGCTTCAAGCCCCAGCCCCACCATCAGTTTGAACAGCTGCCTTCATTCCCCCCCATGTGCCTTTAGGATTGTTAGCCCTAAAACAAAGTCGTAACCACACCTTCACAATTGTTGCCAGTCGTGAGGATTAAATAAGACTGTGGGCCGGGTGCCTGACAGGGGCCTGGAATACAGTAGGCATTTAATAAACATTAGCTGTGTTACTTTTATCACCACATGGTCCCAAAGATGTTTTTAATTTAACAAAGCAGTATCTTAATTTAACACCTACCAAAGATACAAGCTAATTTTTGAAAAATTTACTACAGGCAGTGACATCACTTTAATTTTGCAATAAAATATTTTCCTTCATGTAATTAATGGATGATTTTGGCTAACAGGACTTCAGAAAAATTTATGTGAAGCAACTAACAAATATATATACAGTGCGGTCAGATCTGAGAAGGGGACAAGGGGGGATATACAGGTAATTTAAATTAAGCCAGGGTTGAGTTTTACACAGAAATACATACAGCTTTCTAATAAAGCATACAGGGAAACAAAATCGAGAGATCACAATATCTGAAAAGCAAAACATGCTGTTGCTCAAAAGAAACAGCTTTTTCAAACACTGGAACCTGTAACAGATTCTTCCTCGTGGCATTATTAAAGGAGAATTAAACTTCAGTGTCATGTAGTGGATGCAGTCCACAGGGTGACTGCAGTAAGTCTGTCCTCGGCCCATGCTCCTGACGCAGGGATAGAGCCTGACATGCCTGGGGGAGCACAAGGACTACAGATCCAACCTTCTCAGGCGGTTCTCATGAGAACAGTTTCTTGCACCCAAGCTCATCCTAAGAATTATGCAGTTAGAAAATCTTGACTTGCCTTTTCTGTCAGTAACTCAAGCTGGGCATATTCTGTGTTGTTAATAAAGGCAGATTCAGTTGTGTGGATCATCACTTTGAGGATCATTTGAGAAGGTAGGGCTTGCCTGCATTCTAAATAGACGGCCATCCCCACCTCTGCCTAGACGTAAGCAAAAGAAGTAATGCATAGGCAGTTCTGGGTTAGCTCCAAACCAAGGGCCAGATGGTGGGTCCTGGAGGTTTCGTGGCCACACAGTCTCGGTCAGCTGTCCAGTCTGCTGCAGTGCAGAGCAGCCATAAACAGTGCATAAGCGAATTCATTTACAGCACGTGAATGAGCGTAGCTGTGTTCCAACAAAACTTCGTCTGTGCAGACAGGCAGCAGGCTGGATTCGGCCCATGAGCTGTAGTTGCTGACCCTTGCTCTAAACCACAGTTGAGTGGCTAATGAGGACCCATCATAAAGCATGGGCACAAATCACAAGGCAGCACCCTCTGCCACCCGCCGCAGCCAGTGAAAACTCTCCTGAAGCACCGATGCCCAGCACAGTGGTACTCGGACTGCAAAATTTTGGAACTTTAAAAACCTATCCATAATTAAAATAAACAAATATGTCTGTCATTGTGTGTGTGTGTGTGTGTGTGTGTGTCCTTCATTTCTATTCCCTGCTTCCCTGCTTTAATCCAGCTTCTCCTCACCATTCCAGTGACACTGTCCTTCATAGTGACACTATCTTATAAGTCCGGTGGAGGCTTGTCAGTTCTTAAATCAGTACCATTCTGTGTTCTCCAGGTCTTCCCTCATACTGTGTCCTTTTTTCATCCCAAAGAATGTCTTTTCTCCCCATTTCTCACTAAAATCCTTCCCATTATTCCAGTTTGAGCCCAAGTCCTACCTTCTCTAGAGCATCTACCTGCTTAACAGTGCTGGATTTCTCTTCTAGTCACTTTCTCTTCTTGCTGATCCTTTGAAAGAATAGGTAACTTTTCTCTTTGTAGTTGTGCTTGGGCTAGTTAAGTTGTGAAAAATCTGGATTTTCTAATCTAACACCAAAAGACGAGAGCTGAGTCAACCCCTTGTAAACAGTGAGGGATTGTGAGTCATGTTTTGTGCACAGGGAATCTGGATGACAGGAGAGGACGAGATGCCAGCTGCCTGTAGGCCTGGCCAGAGCCGAGCCCTCTTCACGGAGGCGACAGTGGCCCCTCCTGCGGGAGGAGGCAGGCGTGGCAGCAGCTGGCTTTGGTGGCGGTAGAGGTTTATTCTCTACCAATCTTTAAAAAAATAACTCTGATACATATTTTCTTGTCTTTTAGTTCTTCAGTGAATATGAGAAGTTACTTCATTCAGAAAATTATGTGACAAAAAGACAGTCACTCAAGGTATGACGGATTATTTATTTTATGTAGTTTTATTTCTCTTCACCCTGTGTTTGAAATTTGTATTTGGGGAAAGGGAGATATGCTGGGATAATAAATGAGACCTTTGGGGACAAATGTACTTACCCATGGTCCAGGTTTTTGTGGAACAGAATGGAGCTGCACAGTGTCCATGTGGGACACCTGCCCACCTCCTTGTAAGTTAGAGATACCAACGTGCAAGATGCAAGATTTTGAAAAGGACCTTCACTTTCTCTCCTAGCAATGCAGTGTTTTAGAGTTTGAAACTTCTTTAAACCTTGGAATTACGTCAACCAGGGGAAGGCACTACAGGGGGCGCGCTCCTGGCTGCTGCCCAGTGGATTGGGCTTGCTGTGTGAAAGGAGGGGCTGCTGGGAGCCTGACATGGTGTGCCTGTGTGTGTCTAACGAGGATATGGACAGTTCCACTCGGAACTTAAATTTAAGGTGTAAAACTCTAGGGCAGGGGTTGGCAAACTACAGCTCATGGACCAGGTCCAGCTCACTGCCTGTTTTTGTAAATTAGGGTTTTTTTACAGAAGTACATACATTCATTTATGTGTTGTCTATGGCCGTTTTGGGCTACAACACCAAATTTGGATGGTTGTCCCATAGACTAAGGCCTTCAAAGTCTAAAATATTTACTATCTGGCTCTTTACAGAAAATTTGCTGACCCCTGCTTTAGAGATTTCTTATTGCAGTTAAAAAATGCCTGTCCCTCATTCGGTCAGTAAGTGGTCCTGACACAAACTGTAATTGGAATCACAAAGGAATCATAATTCTATTTACATTTTGTTGTCAGGCCCACTTAAGTCCTGCCGTGCCCAGAGCTCCTCCCGTAGGCCTCCATTACTGCTCCCGTGGCCACGGTGGGGCTTCACTCTCGAAGTCCTTCCTGTTCTGTGGAAATTGACTGCAGGACATCGGGAGCATTGTTACACTTTGTGTCCTTTGATAAAAACACTCTCTACCATGCAAATTTCCAAAAGAATCTTTTCCATCTGGCCAGTTACTTCCTCCTTTCCCCTTAAGGTTGTAACTCCTACAATCAGAGACCAGAAATAGCGTGACAGCCATGGTGTGGAAAGGGTCGCCACTGAAACGGTCTCTCACACTCCCTGCGGTTGTGGGGGCCTTGCCTCCCAGCTGTCCCATAGTCCAGTCAGGGTCCTTAACCTGAGCCTCCACCCCAGGTATGCTGGTTGCATGATCACTGGTGATCTGATTGCTGAAAAGAACCCTTTTATTTGCGGGGGTTGGTGCAGGGCTTCTGGCAGTCGTTCAGGGAATTTTTCCTTCATATATCAGTGTAATAAAGTGTAGGTTTCCTCGATCCTCCACTCAGCCAGGTGGTCCTGTGCCAGGAGCCTCTCCGTGTCCAGGGCCCGGGCGTCCTGTTCTCAGCAGTCACACGGATGTGAGTAGCTGGGTGGAGTCAGTGTCTCTCAAGGCCAAGGAGGCCAGAAAGGACCGCCTACCATAGTAGCTTCCTGGGCTAATAACTCTTCATGGGGAAATCAGTAGACTTTAGCTGAATTCTGAATTGGACTGCTTAGATAAAGAGAAAGGCTTTCAAGACCTTTCTGCAACCTCAGAATTACCAACATGAAAAGGGAGGTAAAGACTGCCATTTGGGAAACCTTAGTAATGGAGACCCCGAAGTCTTTCACCCCTTGTAACATGATAGCTTACGAATACTGAGGACCAGTGGTACTTTACAAGTGGATTTTAATTGTACTCTCCTTTCTGTAGCCACGTTGGCATTTATTTATTTGTTCTTATACTTCTTATACTTACTTTACTAGCAAATTATATTCCCGGTGTAACACCTCAAATTTTTTAATTTTTATGTCCAAAGAAGTTTAAAAAATTGCCAGTCATCATTCTCCAGGTGACCAAACCATAATGAGCCCTTTTATTCTTTTTTGGGTTTCTGTGATAGAAAATGAATGGCAATAAAGCTATAAACCTTCACATACTTAACTACTGAGTCTTCGTAAGAGTAGATACTGATTGTTTCTTTCCTTGAAACCTGTGGATTTTGTGATTCAGATTGATATGAAGCCTGTCTGAGCTCTTGAGTTCTTCCTATAGATTGTTGATAAATCCTCAGTAGAATAGATTTGTTTTCCTGCACATCAGCTTATTTTTTCTTTAATGTGAGATCAGTTATCTGGAGACTTCAAGTTATCTAGCACATAGCCAGGAGCCCAGAAAGGAGCTGGCAAAGGCAGTTACATCACAGTGAGGTGGTTCATGCACCTCCTTTCCTTGGGCCTCGCTCCACATCTCCCCTTAGAGTCGGGTCGAACATGCTTTGCATGTATTCACACCTTCATCCTCATACACAGTCATGAGACATAGGTACTGTTATCCACCCATTATACACATGATGAAACTGAGGCACAGAGAAGTAAAGTAACATGCTCAAGGCTAATAGCTCACAAGGAATAGGGAGGCAGGATTCGAACACGGGTGTTCTGGTGCCAGGCACAGGCTCCCCACGGCTCTGTCTGCCCACAAGGACTGCAGCTGGGCTCCTCACCCACTTAGGTTATGCCACCTGCACATGAGCCCTTGACTAGAAGTTGGCACACTGACAGCATAACTAGGTTAATGTAAATGCATATCTAAAGAGTGGCTCTGATGGTCTCAGATTCTGGGCCAAATGTGCTTTGAATGTCCTCTTCAGAGAACAGTGTCAGACACAGTGTAAGTTTAATCCCTAAGAGGAAAGGTGGGTGTTCCAGTGGCAGACGGGGGACCCACGACAGCTTTCAGGTCATCACTGGGTCCAGTTCATCAGTCTTTTGAGGGCCTGCTAATATTCTATGCTTAATAATAATGACTATCAAACAAATTATTTTTTAAACTTTGTTTTACTTCAAATCTCAATGTAAGCGTAATTGTTTAAATGTCTTCACAGCTTCTCGGTGAGCTACTATTAGACAGACACAACTTCACAATTATGACAAAATACATCAGTAAGCCTGAGAACCTCAAGTTAATGATGAACCTCCTACGAGACAAGAGTCGTAACATCCAGTTTGAGGCCTTTCATGTTTTTAAGGTAGGATACTAAAATCTTAAAGATTATTTTCCTCTAGAGTTGTTAGTCTCATTCCATTTACCAATTACCAAAATGCTATTGGCTTCATTTTGGTAATCTGCACAATACAGTTCAGTCAACTTTGATATTTCTGTACTACAACATAGAGACAAAAATTTGGATAAAAGTTTATTTACAAAAGAATGTCATTTATCTTTGTCAAAAAAGATAATTAATCACAAAGGGTAATCTATTTCTTAAAAGGTTTTTGTACTTAAAATTCATTCTGACTTCAGTGCCCAGAAATCATTTCTGCCCATTTTATTCTAAAATTAAGGTCTATGTTTAATACCACTACTTAGTTTCAGAGCATGAATGAATATGTCATTCTTTTTGTGCTGAAACAAGTAATTCATTTTTCCCTCAAAATTGTAAAGTAGATCTTGCAAAGCAAAGCCCTCCTGTCTGCTGTGCAGGCTCTGCCTGCATCCGGGGAAGCCCTGGATGCGGCCGCGTGTGCCCTGCTCCCTGCGGCGCGGTCTGCCTGGGTCTTGTTCTTCCCGGGGACTGATGGCGCTTTCTCCCCACACAGGTGTTTGTAGCCAATCCCAACAAGACGCAGCCTATCCTAGACATCCTCCTCAAGAATCAGACCAAGCTCATAGAGTTCCTCAGCAAGTTCCAGAACGACAGGACCGAGGACGAACAGTTCAACGATGAGAAGACCTATTTAGTTAAACAGATCAGGGATTTGAAGAGACCAGCTCAGCAAGAAGCCTAATTTCCAATAAACATCTACAATATTAAATCCAAATTCAGCATTTGCTGTTAGCTATTAAGCATCAGGCACTCTTATCGATTCATGAGGAACATTACCGCTAACCTGCTGTTAAGTGAACGGTTTTCCATTTACCTTTTTTGTTTCTTAGTCCAAGTCGGAGAACGTAGCTGCTGCTTTCTTGCACACTAGAGCACACATGGACTTTCTCTTGATCTTTGTGTCATTTCAGAATTGAAAGACTCCGTTTGCTATAGGAGTTTTGAACATGGCTAGTTTCATGAGGGCAAATGTATAGATGATAGTGTGGTTTTAGGCAAGAAGAGTGCTGATATTATCAGATTAATCCTACATGTTTGCATTTATCTTTGTTAAGATCTGAGTATGGACTCTTGGTGAGATCATACCCCTTCACTAAAGGAAGATCGTGCAGAGCTTTATTTGAAATCAGAGGGGAACTGTATCCAAGATGTGAGCTTTTTGGGTGGATAAAGTTGACATGCTACTAAATTGATACTGAAACTTAGCAACTTTTCTAAAGTGTGAAGCTTCATAAGGTCATAAGGAAAATGTATATATGCTTTTCACAGCTTTCTAGAATTTTTTTGACATTTGATTTTCTTGAGACTTGTAAACCTGGAAATGTTGAAGGGTATTTGTTAATTACTTTTTGAAGGTATTTTAAAACTAGAGCTAGCAACTACACCTTGCATTTCATTTCATTGATGCTTACAGGTTTCTTTTGTATATAATTCTTAGAATGCTCATTTCTTTTAAATGACTTAATTTGTACAGCAGAGGAATGTTATTGTATTAGTATGTAACTATTACCTAATATTGAGTTTTTGCAAAAAATGAATGCTCATATGTAATTGAAATACTTCAGATCACATGAAAGTGCTGATTTAACATTTAAGTATCACAGCATTAAAAGAAAAAAGAAGTAAACCAACCCTTTGTATTTAGTTATCTAATGGGGTGCCATCAGTAGTCTGCAAGACAGACCTGCAGCTCAGTCAGCTATACTCTTCTACATAATATTGGCCTTTCTCATTGAAAATGAGTCGCGAGTTTGCCAGATCTATGAATGATACCGATTATGCTAAATTAATGCTGATTCCTTGTGTGTGTGGGAACTTCTAGAACACGTTTTCTTTCTTATAGTAAGTAATCCAGTACAATAGTTGTGAAACTGAATAATTAAAACTTCAGCACCTCTTAGGAAGAGGAATTCCTAGTCATAGGTGTCCTATGGGGAAATTTTTTTTTTTAACGTCCTGTTCCTTAATGCTGCAAATTATCAGTATTTATAAAGTAACTGATTTTGCACCACTTTTTTGTTACTGTGACCACGGCAGAGCAACTTCTAGAATAGATCTGTGTAAAGTTACTAGAATGGTATCTGTTCATCTTAGTGATACAAAGATCATGACTGGCAATTCACAAATCAGTTTGCCAGTTCAAATTCAGCGTAGCTGTAGCTGATTAAGAAATTTACATAATTATTTTTTGCGAGCCTCTTTTACTGATTGAATTATTTATCAGCCAGTAAAAAGAGACTCCCAGCTGATGTCTCAGCAGGTTTTAAGACTTCTAGGAACCCCAGTTAGGAAAATACCTCCAGAGAACATAGCTGTAGTTTATCTAATTAAAAGGGCAGTCTACATTATAATTGGTTTTCCCGAGGCTGTCTTTACCAAAATCTGAATAAAATAATTCATGTTTTTCTATTGGAAATAGGGAAAGTGATCCGTGATCCAAGCTCCTTGAAATGAAAATATCCAAGTCGTTGAGGAAGGCAGGGTGGCTGTGTGATGAAGCATCCCGGGTCTCCTGGTCTGGTGCTCGGTATCGGGGCTTAGTGTGAAAACAGCAGTCGCACCAAATGGAAGAAAGGTCTCCATGCCAGGACGTTTCTTAGACCCTGAAACAACAAAACAGCTTCCCCTTCAGGGATGCTGTTGTGGCACCAGAGCCTCCTGTGTGGAAGATGGGGGCGGGCAGCATGTCAGAGAAAACATGGAGAGTTACTGTCGCCTTGGAATCTGGAGATGGTTGACTCTTTTTGGATTTTGGTTTTTTTGTCATTTTTTTTTTTTGAAACAAAAATGTGAAAACATTCAAAGTTGGAAAGTCACACTTGAAGTTATGATTATTTAATATATACATATTACCAAAACTATTATCCTGGAAGTGGTTTCTTTTTGTGTTATAAAGGTTTAATTTTATGTCAGTTAGTTACTCCATGTGATTTTTAACCCTTTAAAAAAAAAGGTGGAGATGTATACAGTTGTTAACAATGCCATGAAAGCATTTCCTTTCTCTTGAGGAAAAGTAAATTTCTTCTCAGAATATCTGGCTGGCCCTGTAATTTAAATTAAAATAAAATTTTGAAGAAACAGTGTTGTATGTTTTTACCGATGACTCAAAGACACTTGCATTTGTGTCACTCTAAACAGCCCCAGCTGGAGACCCACCACACAGATTCTGCCACAAACTGTAACCAGAAACCGTTCATGCGCACGCCCTCTCCACGCCTTTTTTTTCCTACTCAGGCTTTTCTTTTTGATGTCAAAAATTGAATTTTAGTGTCAAGACAGCATAGTATAGGGCTCCTGCCTTTCTCAGTGAACTAGTGTTACACCTGACTAGCATCACTTTTTAGACCCTAACAGTGGGGAAGCGAAGCCTTTCCGGTTGGTTCTGTGACCCTTTGTTAATAACCTAAGATAAGACTAAGGCACTTGGCAGGAGTATTCAGAAGTGCCCCCGGAGGGACAAGACTGTGGCAGCGCTGCATCAGTGATGCCGACAGGCCTGTCCTCCGGCTGCTGTAACCATCAGTGCCCCGTCCCCAGCCTCAATTTTTATTTCAGCCCTTGTCAGGAAACAGGACCTGCGTTCTCTGGGTGACGACATGGGACATCTGCCCAAACCACTCCGTCTGGAGAGTGTCATCCCAGGTCGTTGAGTCCCCTTGGGTGTGCTCCAGATGACAGGGTGAGGCCTTGTGACTGCCTGTTCTCTGAGAGTGAACGCAGGACTCCTGGTCAGGGGGCAGTGGGTGCACTGAGGGCTGGATTCATGCTTCCTCCCAGTCACCAATCGCCCCCACCCACAAAAAGCCACAAACTTTGAGTCTCAGGCTGCTCAGTGGTAACAGTTCTTGCCCTGCCTGCATATTCATAAGGACCAAACAAGATAACTGCAAAAGATCTTGGAGGGCTGCCATGCTCAGTTCTGGAGGTCAGAGCCACCCCAAGGTAATGAATAATCCCACCGGAGAATTCACCAAAAATGCGTTTTAGAGGAACAGAGGACAGCCGGCCCAGGGCACACTGCCCTTCAGCTACTTCCAGATTTATAAGGGTGTTTGTCCTGGCCATTTCTGTGTCCCTACCACCCCGTTCAGGGCCCAATACCCTCTCTCTGACCATGTGGTCTCCAGAAGGCGTAAGGACAAGGTTAAGACCCCACACTACAATCCCACGGTCCTCTCGTCTGGCTCCCAAAGTCCACCCCATGGAGAGACCTTCCTCAGGAGCAGTCTGAACACACCCCATTTCAGCTCTCCGCTAAGGAATGACCATCATCTTCCACCCGCCAATACTTCCTTCCTGGTCAACCTGCATTCATAACTCCACCAAGCACTTAAAACCTAAGACATAGTCATAGGGATAAAACACCTTCAAAGCCTCCCACAGGGACTGCTGCCTGCCAGCGTTCACGCTGGCTCAAAGTGATGGCGACATTTGCACAGGGCGTATCACTTCAAAGCTTGTGGGAAGCCTTTGTATTTGTGCACAGTGACTTCTGAGGCCTTTCTAATGTTCGGTCCCCTGAGTGGTCTTCAGGGGAACTGAAAGCTGGGGCGTCCCATTGCCCGGCCTGCCGTGGCAGAGGTGCAGCACACCTGCCGAGGCGAGTGCCTGGGGATCCACATCTCCAAGCACAGGGACCGCCAGGTGTCTAGGCTGAAGACTGTCCTCTGCAGGTTGTGAAGACCTCTAGGTGGTGCTTCAGGAAGACAGACACCAGGGATTTGGGGGAAAGACTTATATTTGTCAACATTCTCCACAAGATGAGCCCCAGCTCACCAGAACTCCTGTTCCTTGGTGATGCGTTTTTCCACCTAAATACTTGTTCTGTGGAATGAGCATGGTCCTGGCTCTACTTCTCAGTGGCTGTGTCTTCCATTTGGGGGAGGTTCCACTGGGACAATGGGGGCCTGGGGCTGGGGAAGCTTCCAGACAAGGCCACTCCCCAGCCTGGTCCCTCTTTCTCCCACGGACCCCTTCATGCACTGGACACCTCCGCATCTCCCCGCCTTACAAGTCTCACCTGTGTGGAGGGCCAAGGGGGTCCCATGGAAGCGGGCCCCACTTCTACCCAAGCTGTGCCTGTCTGCTCAGCGCCCCCATGGCCCTGCACTCTCCCCAGCAGCTAGGCAGCTGCTCCTGGGACCTCCTTCCACGGGGTGAGGCGGGCAGCGCAGGGTGGTGACCCGACACACACACACACACAGGTCCTGCAGGGCCCCGTCCCCTCGGCCCGCACTTCGTCCTCCAGAAGCTGCTGGCTGCGGCCCAGGGCCCCAGAAAGGCCGCAGCTACCGTCCGCAGGAGCAGCCCTCTCCGCAGCCGCAGCCGCTGGGCCGGACCAGTGCTCCTAGCAGTTCCGGGCGCGGAGCCGGCACAGTCACATTCGTTAATGGTTTGACGACGCCTCGGGCCCTTTCCTTCCTCTGGCTCGTGTGCTCTGTACCGGGGCTTCCTGGGATGGTGTCCAAGTAAATGAGCAGCGTTCAAACTCCCGTCCCAGGCTCTGCTTACGGAGAAACCCAGGCTAAGACACGCTTACGCTGTCCCTTCTCCTAACCGGGCGGCGTGACCCGCCGCCCTGTGGTCCCCCACACGCCGGGCCTCCCCCTAGAAGGGGCTCTTCCCGCCCCTTCGGGAGCTCCCTTCCTGCCCCTCGCCTCAACATCTAGGAGAGCCTGTGGCCAAACCTGACGCCAGGCACCTGAGGCTCAGCAAGGCCTCGAGTCCCCAGCTGCTGCGGCCTGAGCGCCCCGGCCCCGGCCCGCGCCCGCCAGCCCCTGGGGCCCACCCAGTCAGCCCAAGCCTCCACACTCATTTCGAAAGCAGCCGGACCGGCTTCACCCACTGCCCCCGAATTGTTCCTCCTGATCATAAAAACTGGAAAAACCCCAACTCCCTCATTCTCTGCACCTTTCAAAAAAGACTTCTCTGAAAAGTGTAGTATAACCCTACAAAATGGTCGCACAATTAGGAACTAGACCATATGTGCAGCTCCAGATAAGAATTGGGATGAGGATCAGGGGCGAAGGGGCTAGGGTCGCGTGCATCCTGGGCTCACAGACGCTCCCCAATCTAAGGGCGCCTCCCGCTCTGCGGCAGCAACTCTTAAACAATCCACTGGGTGGCGGCAGAGCTCCTTGTCCCAGCAGCGGCGGGCCTGGGGCAGTCCTAGGTCAAATCCAGCAAGGCAACTGTGGATAGGCCCGCAGACCCTTTGGCTGTGTCGTATGCCAGCTTGCCCTGGGCTTCTTGAGCAAAATGCCCATTTAGAGCAAAAAGGACGGACAGGGCATAAAAAGAAGGTTGTTAAAAAAAGAGACAGGGAGGAACAGACGTGCAATACAGATGTAATGTGTGCTAGAGACAGTAAACTGTGAAGGGTACTGTGTAGGCTGTGGGTATATGTTGCTCTGTTTCTTAAGAAGCTTTATTTTTTAGGAGAAAAAGTTGCAAAGAGAGAGGGTTCCAGGTTTCTCCAATCATTAACATCTCAATCAGGCAAGGTACATCTGTCCTAATAAATGGGCCAGTATTGGTGTTACTATCAACTAAAGCCCATGCTTTATTCAGATCTCCTTCGGTTTTTCCCTGATGTCCCTTCTCCGTGCCAGGAGCCCATCCAGGATCCCACGTGACATGCAGGCATCGTGTCTCTGCACTTGGCTGTGTGGTCTCCCGCACGCTCCTGGTTTTCAATGGTGGTTCTGAGGAAGTACTTTGTAGAATCTACTGCGGCTGATATTTGTCTGGTGTTTTTCTCATGAACAGGACGAGACTATGGTTTGGGAGAGGAAGATGGCACAGAGAAAGCACCTCTCGTTGCATGTGCGCACACCGTCACCATGACTGACTCCTGGCGATGTCAGGCCTGGTCGCCGGCTGAGGTCGTGCTGGCAGAGTCTCCACTGTAAAGCCGCTCTTCTGTTTTCCCTCTTTGTATTCCGACGCCCTAGGGAGCAGTGCTCTGTGCAGCCCACACTCAGAGAGCGGGGATTAAGCGCCACCACTTCCCGATGAGCATCACATCCATTATTTGGAATTTCCTTCATGGCAGACATGTCTCTTTTCTCCTGTTATATCATTTTTCCCTGTAAAAGCCTTTCAATCTTCTATAGGCTTGAAATATTTCATAATAAAATGGTGGAAACAAGTGGTCAAAAGCACGTGTCGCTGAATACAAGGTGAGAGGCACGTGGTTTGCAGGGGTGCGAGGGGACTGAGCTCCTCCACAACCACCCAGTGGCCGCCGCCCGTGGATTCCAACACAATCCCAGATGCACCCAGTCTAAACCAGAGCCGCGCAGGCCCGCTGCCAGGCCTCCCAGCCCAGGGCTCTGGTTCCGCAGCCGGCAATCATCCTGGAATCCTTGCCTTCACTCCTCTTCTCCGGTCCCATCGACAGCAAATCCTTTGTTCTGCCTGGGAACACGTCAGCCGCAAATTTGCCAGCCAGACACCCTTGGAACGATTCCAACAAGCCATTTGAAATGATCAGAAAGCTCTTGTCCCTTCGTAGGCAACAGACTTAGAAAGTCAGTCAGGAGTTGATACGATACAGAAGTGGTATCAATTTGATTTCTGTTTTTTGGTAACTGGTAGGCAAATAGTTGCTAACCTTCTCCATCAAGTCTTCCAAAACACCCATGTCAACAGATCCCCATTCTTTGAAGGTTCTCCATTAACTGCCAACAACCCTCATTAGTACTGACCGAATGATTACCAAGCACTTTACATGGGCTCATTCCTCACCGCACCCTGATGGATGGGTCCTCTATGATCCTGATTTTACAGATGAGGCAACAGTGGCCCAGAGAGGGTAAGCCACTTTGCCAGGGCCACGCAGCAGTAGGCAACAGAGCCAGAAGTGGACTTGGCAGGCAGCATCTTTTTAGTCCAACACTCCTCACCCCTCCTCCAAGTTCCTGCCTCCTTCAAAATTGTCAAGAACAGATAATCAAGGCAAAGGGAGTCTCCGAATCCCACCCACTCTGACCACCTGTTACATTAAACACCCAAGAGGAGAGTCTGTTTGTCTGGCACCCCCACAGGCCAGCCTGGGAAGGTCTTATCTTCACAGGGC